TGGGCCTTATGGTGCAATTTGTTTATTTGTCAAATTCACGTTAAAGGGTCGTTTGGTAAGCATGTAATCTACCCACGGATTTCAAGATTACATGATATATGAGATTTCACTGTTTTTCTTGTTTTATTTTTGGACAAATATCATGATATTGGTGCACCATGTAATTCTAGAATTGATGTGACCAATGATATCTCAAATGCTTTGGGTTTACCCAAAGTATTTGAGATTTCATGCCAAATTATGTGGGTTCTACCATGAACTCATGCAAGCCAAACAATGCATTCTAATATTACACAAGTTCTCACAACTCAACCTACAATATACATGAATTCTTCAAATACATGAATTCTACATTACGTGCTTACCAAACGACAAGATGAAAGTGAATTTATCGAGTTATGGATCAATCTGGTCATTTTTGACGATGAGGTTGTGCATTTCAATTAGTTGGGTTATAGATCAATCCGAGTGTTTGGATAAATGGTGAGTGGGATTATGGGTCATTGACTTTTCCGTCTAGTTTGGGTTATGGAATGGGAGGGAGGTGGTTGACATCTTGACGAGTTGACCAGGTTATGCGTAAATCTATTAAGTCATTAGTTAGATAGTAGGTCAATCGATTCGGTAGTGTTACGAGCAATTGTGCGATCAGTTGGGTTGAACATAGTAAGAGTGGAAATTTGAGGTAGTGAAATGATGAGAAATTGTTGTTAAAATTTGAAGAGGGAAATAGACATAGTAAGAGCAAATGTTGTTTTTATCCTAAATTGGAGAGCAATTGTTACACTCTCTTGTAATATAGCAAAATTTATGAACAAAGCAACTCTCTAATTTTGTCCGACGAAGGGATTAATTAAGGAAGCCCGTAACAACAAGGAAGCTAAACAAATATGTAATGTGTCAAAAACAAGTTGGTTCTAATAACTCGAGTTATTGAGAGAAATTCAATAATAGATCTTATACTACACATTAACACATCCCTTTAACGAATGCCAGTGAACTCATAAGTGCTTTAGTTTGCACATAAAGCACTCAAAATCCCGATTTGAATCCTAAAATCCTACGGTTTTACGATTTTACTTACCTATTCCGATTCTGATTTCACTATAAAATATACGGACCTTAAAATCCTACACTATTCATGATTTAAATCCTTAAAATCTTACGATTTTACGATTCAAATCTTTGGGTCAATTTTACTCCCCCCCCTCTAATTTGCAAAATTACGCCTCTTTTCCTTCTACTCCACCAACATCATCTAGATCTCGTACACTAACCACCATCATCAATTCATATCAACGTATTGCTCACCATCGATTCACCTCTTCCCAACATTATCCTTGATAAATTGAAACATTAACCTTGAAAAATTATCATTGTAATTTTTATGAGTTGTTGTGTTATTCATGATTTTCCTTATTAATATTATTCCGTCTTCATTTTATACGGACCTTAAAATTCTACGATTTTACGATTTCGATTTTAGCCCCATTTTTGATTTTACATAAAATCCCGATTTTGACTCCTATGCATAGGTATTGAATGCTAGAATATAATGTGCTTCATAAATGGGGGTCGTCGAGATTTGAAAAATAGACATGTCGGTCACAGAAGACTCTAATATTATGTCATGAATCAGTTGGTCCATAAAACTTGAGTTATTGAGAGAATTCAATAATTGATCTTATATTCTATGGCTAATACCACTGGAAATGCCAACCTTTAGCGAAAGTGCTATTTATATGTTGTAACTTCAATAAATACAAAAAATTTCCAACCTATTAGGTGTTTGTGTCATTTGTGTTATGATAATTTTGTTGACCGTTAGAGTTAACTGTTGACCAAACGGTGGTTAACTTTGTTTGACCATAAATGAAGTGGCGCTTAGGTGACTTCCACTTATGTGTCACAAATGAAAATTTTATTAAAATAAAAAAATTAAATCAAATAAAATGAATTGTAATTCTTCCTTAATAAAAAAAATCACAAAAATTTGAATTAGAAAAAGAAATAAATAAATTATAATCGAAGATCGAGTAATTTGCTAACAAAAAAGTATATGTTGACAATAAAATAATGTATTGAACAACGTCTATAGATGGCATCAATTAGCTTACTAACTATAAAGGGGTTAGCACCATTCTATGATATTTGTAATAATTATTTTTATGGGTTAATAGCATTTTGTACCCTTCTATTATAGTAAATTAACAAACATACCCCTCTACTAAATTTTTGCACAAACATACCCTTCTTATGTTAAAACGTAACGAGTTTACCCTTCCATCTAAATTTCTGTTAAGTAACCGTTAAAAGAGCTTGAAAATGACCAAATTGCCCTTCACTCCTAATTTCAATTTTAATTATTTTATTATTTTATTATTTATCTCCTTTAATCAATTAATTAAAAAAATTAAACCCTATGCCCTAGGTCACCCATGGCAATCGACTCGGCGGCGGCGGCGGCGCCTGCTCCTCGCTCTACCTGCCTCTCGTCGACGGCCACCGGAGATCCGACGTCTCCGCCTCCAAACGACTCGGCCGCGGTGACGGCAGACTAGTTCTTTTCAAAAAAACCTCAGACCAACTCCGATTCAAATTCCAAGTCACCCACGACAATCAAGTCAAGAGCTTTATTGCCGGAGCGCTCGCCACATCGCAAAATCCCAACCACCGAACCTTCAGCGGTTGTAAAAACAAAATCAAAGAGTACGGACGGAATCGGCGTATGGGATCATTTCACCGGGAAGCATGTTGATTTCTTCTACGAATCCCCCTGATGGTCTCTAGGTCACGCCAATAAACTCCATTGGTTGGACGAAAAGAACTCTTATAGATAGCTACTCTGACAATTGCTATATTAGTCTTCTTGATTTAAGAACCAAGGAAATGCCGTAGTCGTGGTTGGACGTTGTAGCTCCGGTGTCCGTCGACGAGAGGCAGGTTCGGCGAGAAGCAGGCGCCGCAACCGAGTCGATCGCCAGGGGTGAGACGGACAGTGATTTTGAATTAGTTTAGGGTTTTATTTTATGAAGTTAATTGATTTAATAAAATAATTAAAATTGAAATTAGGAATAAACGAGGGGCAATTTGGTCATTCCTCCGTCCTTTGAACGGTCACTTAACAGAAAATTAGACGGAAGGGTACACTCGTTACGTTTTAATATTAGGAGGGTATGTTTGTGCAAAAATTTAGTACAGGGGCATGTTTGTTAATTTACCATAATAGAAGGGTACAAAATGCTATTAACCCTATTTTTATAGTTGTAGTTTTTTTTTTTTTGCAGTTATAAAACATTTTGGACAAAACATAGTTATATTAATTATTTTTAATAGTTATAGAACTGCAATTCTAATACTAACCACTTCAACTCTATTTAGCATGGCCATGATGCTAATCCCTCTATGATTAGCACAATATTGAATCCTCTTGAGATGGCAAATTGGGAATGGCCAATCGGCGTTCCTGCTGCACTCTAAATGGATCCCTCTGCTTTAGAATGATCCCCTAGTTATAATCCTCGGGTTTTGCCTGAGGGAGGGGATCCTCCGGTTGCGGAGGTCATGAGTCCAGGTGGGGGTATTGGGATGGGGAAAAGTTGCGCTGGTGGTTTGCCCAATGACTTGTAGGGCCATTCAGGTTATCCCCCTGCCACGTCATAATGTTGAGGATAGGCTGATCTGGCATGCGACCGAGGATGGGGTCTTCACGGTTAAATCTGCTTATCACTTGGCGGTTGATGCCGATAGGAGACGAGGAGGGTGGCGTTCCACGGTCGGGTGAATGGATAAGCCCTCATGGGTTCGGTTATGGGACGCGAATATCCCTCCTAAACTGAAAGTCTTTGTCTGGCAAATCTTCAATCGCATCTTGCCTACTACGGAGGCTCTTATTGAGAAAAAGGTTCCGGTGCTCCCCCGATGTCCGGTTTGCTGGGCAAGTACAGAAACTCTGGAACATTTATTTTTGGACTGTCCGGTGGCTCGGGGCCTTTGGGATTATTCCGGGCTGGCACACTTAGGGGAGGGACTCCCTCGCCATACTTTCCCTTTGTTTCTGAAATGTTTACTGACTTTGATCCATCAGCCTCCTCTGTTTATGGCTGTGGTTGCTGTGCTTTGGCGGATATGGAGGTCGCGGAATTGGGTTGTCTTCGAAGGAAAGCAGTTTGGGTTCGCGGCCCTGATGCGTCAGTTTCAGCAGCAGTATGAGGAGTGGATCCGCCTGCCGGTGGATAAAGGCCAAAGGATGGTTGCCCATTCTGTGATGGCTTCGGGGATGACTCCTCGGGGTTCTGCTGAGGGGGACAGGGTTGTGTGTATGTGGGATGGGGCGGTTCGGAGGGGGGCTCACTCGGCGGGTGGCCTAGTTCTCTTTACTCCTATGAAGGATGTTTGGATGGCGAAAGGGGTTTATTTTCCTAGCCTGGATGATCCGATGGTGGTGGAACTGCTTGTCCTCCGGGAAGCTGTCTCGTGGTGTAGGGCGCTTCGGCTTTCAGAGGTGCCGTTCGAAGGTGATACCGAGGTTATTATTGATAAAATCAATCAAGCAGATACTAGAGATAGCAGGGTTGGTGCTGTTCTGGAGGAGCTTCAACAATATTTTCACAGTACTTCTGGTTTTAGTGTTCGATTTGTAGGTCGGAGTAGTAATAGGGTAGCCCATATGGTGGCTCGTAAAGCCCTCTCTTTGTACCCGACTACGAGTCGTTCTTTTGATTTCCTGGCCTGGCTCATTTCCATGATGTAATTATCTATTTTTTGGATCAATATACGATTATCTATTGTAAAAAAAAACTACTAAGCCGTAGAAACAAAACAATAATCAAATTATGGATCAACACAATCAGCTAGCTAGGTTACAGACTTACAGGGGGAAAAATTAGGAGCCGTTGATTGGCGGATTAAGTCCGCCGTTGTCTATAAATTAGAAGCACATCATTTGCCGCTCAAATCATTTGGACGGTTTCCTTTGAAAAGTCAAAATACAATCGTCGCCAACAGTGAGCAAATGCGAGCTCTTCCCGCAAACTCGAAAACCGCGCCGAGAGTACCTCCCGTTCAAGTTCCTCTCAGAGAGTTTTCTCCGGCGATTGATCGCACGAGCTCCTTCTCCGAAATGAAGACTACGCTAGGGTTTCCGAGCATGAGGAGCTTGGATCATCTGAAGCCGCCGTCGGGATCCGGGAAGAGCTTCTCGTTCTCGTCGTCGCGGCCAGCTTCCGATCAGATGTCCTTGGGAAACTTCACGAATCCGAAGCTTGGTGCAGGTATCGGACGAAAGGATTCCGACAATCTGTTTATGTAATTTTGCCTGGCAATCCTCGTCGCCCAATTCTAGCTGTTTCTTCGTCTGCTTGCAGAGAAGTTAGTGAAGGAGCAATTGTCGGCGAAAATGGAGCTGGAAACGGCGGTAAGTGCTGAATTTCCTCTCTGTTTTTTTGTTCGTCTTTCTCAATCGGCGATAGAGCTTGTAGTAGAACGAAGAACTTAGGTCCGTTTTTTTTTTTGTGCACTGATTAGTACAATAAGCTTAAGAAGTCGATCGAGAGTGTCCGTTCGCTGGAGGAAAAGTTGCAGAACGCGTTTAATGAGAATCTAAAGCTGAAAGAGGTTGCGAAGCTGTGGGAAGGATTGGAGTCTAGGTTTGCTTCAACGAAATCGTTCTGTGATCAACAACTCTGTGCAAGTTTAGGTCAATTATCTGGACAGGTTGAGCGTGGTGAGTGAGTTCTCCAATTTAGATTACAGATTCGACCGGTTCCTTTTTGTCTGCTGTTACTCTGAAGAACGAATTGCCTTTTTTTTGGCAGCTGAAAAGGACAAGGAGTTTTTTCAGGGCAAACTATGTGCAAGCTCGAATGCTATTGACAAGTTGAACATACAACTCAATGATCTGTCTCTGAAATTGGCCTCCGCCGAGGGAACTGTTACAATGCGTGAGCATTTTGTAGGATTCTTGGTTTCTTAGGGCTTAGTTTTCAGCCATGTTTCTTACGTTTGTGTTATTGATGCAGGAGAGAAGGAATTGGCAGATCTTAGAACTGAAAAGGAGGAAATTAGTAAGGTTTTTGTAGAGGAAAAGGGGAGACTTAGTAAGCTGATTGAGGATCAAGGTAACTTGCTTGAAACAAGTCTGGTTACGGATAATATCCTCTCATGATTTGAGCCCATCTATGGTGTGCTGACTTTGAATTCAGCAGCATAAATCATTCATATCTTACTAGTAGATCATATGCAAGACAACTGCTGTGCACAGATCTTATTATCATATCTATACTTGTCCAGTTCATTTAAGCTATGTATCATGGAATGCACTTTCTGTTTCTAGTTAGTCAGCAAAATGAACTAGCTCATTAGTTTAGTTTCCTATCACTGTCACACCAACTCAGCTGGGATGGTAGATGGTCCATTTGCTGGTTAGGACAATCGCGAGAACAAACTGGGTAGTCCTGTCATGAGGCCTGCTGTCCTCACTCATTTGCTGATGTTCTGAAGGATACTTGAACCCCATGACAGTTAGGTTATGCAAATGACAGAAAGAGAATCATTAGGATTAACCAGCAGTTAAAATCACAGCTTCGTGATTCCAGGCTACAATGAGATTTGTGGTTTATGGATTACTCTATGCTTAACTATTGTGACGCTGCTAGCTGGTGGCTTTTTATCCTGATTTCCATAATTTCGACTCTGCAACATGGCCACCTTGCGTTATGAATGTTCTGCATGTCTTGGTCTTTGGAGTAAGGTGTTGGAAACAACAAAACTAGGATAGGGTTAAAAGGGACAAAGTAAAGGGAACCAAACAACAATAATGAAACATTTCTTTCCACTGTAGTTCTTTCTAGAGCATTAATATGATTTGTCCTTCAGCTTCAATAAAGACTACAAATTGGCTCTGAATGTCTTCTCCGGTAGTTGTTAATTTGATTTCTACCGATGATATTTTGAACTGCTCACACTATTGGATAGGCATTGAAACCTCAGTTTACCACATTGGTGTGGGCCCTCTCATGCTAATCCGTTCCTTATTGTTTGTCTGCAGATGCCATACTGAAGCAGTTTGAAGTATCCCTGGCAGCAAAAAGTTTAGACATGGAGTGTCTAAACTCTAAATTGGAAAGCATGCACCTTGAATTGAAGCTAAAGGAAGATGAGATAAATAATTCATGCATTGCAGCCCAGAACTTGAGGGAAGAAAAGAGTAACCTCCATCTGAGCAACGAGAAATTGGATAATGAATTGGCTACAGCACTTCAGGAGATCAGGAAGGTCGAGAGTTTTGTTCATGTGCTGACTGCTCAGTTAGTGGAACTGGACAAGCAAAGTTTGAGTTTCACTGACAGCTATAGTCGCCTGAGCTCACTCTATGATGCTTCCATTGAGTTGGTACAACGAGAGAGAGCCCTTGTTTCCAAGCATGCTCAAAAGAAGTATGATACACTCCACAACAAATTCTTGGGAACAACATCTGAAAAGGAGGCAGTGCAACTGACAAATAAGGAGCTGAACTCTAAGATCCTTGAACTCGAGAAAGCACTGGATTCTCTCAGGGAAAGACTTGCTGAGGAGCAGGGGTCTGCCGTTGATAAAATTAACAAGCTGGAATCTGAGACTGAAGCACTACTCTTAAAGAAGGATGAGGCTGAGAGGCTGGTTTCACAATTAGAGGAGAAAATCGGTGTTTTAACTGAAATCTCAAGGTCATCTGAGAATGAAATGGTACATTATGTTTCTAATTTACGTACTTTGAATTGATGTTTTGATTACTCCAAACAATTAATCATGCTTTGTGTACGGCTTAACGCTTGTTCATCCCATCTTACAGAAAGAGCTTCTGCTGAAAATGCCCAAGTTGGAAGAGGAATACAGAGGCAACACAGAACAGTTACAGGGAGAGCTACAAAAGAAGGTAGAAGAATATGAAAGTCTTCAGAAGGAAACTCAGAAACATGACCAAGAAATAGATTCTTTGGCGAAGAAAGTTGGTCAAATTCAGAATATAGTACAAGAGAAGGAAGAACTTCTTTTGCAAGTCAAAGAGAGGGAGAAGAATTTGGAAGATCAAATCAACGAGGTTTCTGAAAGACAAATCAAATCTGAAGAAAGAAAACAGTATACTACTATTCTGAGTTCTGCTAATGGTTCAATCCTGTCTAACTATTTGTGCAGAATCAGGCATCATTGACAGCAGCTGAAAGCAGATTGGCAGAAGTAAAGACGCAATATGAAATGATGCTTGAGAGTAAACAACTGGAGCTGTCAAGACATCTCAACGAAATTTCTCATAGGAATGATCAGGTGAAGAAATCTGTTACTTACTGTCAAGCATGTCAGGATCTCTATGATTTTGGTCTTTGATACCTCTGGTACATGTTGGCAATTGCCACTATCTTAGGCAATTACGGAAATCCGGAAGAAGTATGACGAAGAGAAGCTGGAAATCATTAACACAGAAAAGGAAAAGGTCCGAATGTAACTCTGGTCTGTTACATCATTATTCTTGTTATGGGATTTTATCTTAAGCCTCACCAGATTGGGATATTCAGGTGAGCAGACAACTACAGGACATGGAAAGAAACTGCAACCAGAAACTTTCGGAACAGAAGGAAGAGTCGAAGCAGCAGCTTGTGCGTATTCAAGAAGAGCATGCTTCAAAGGTAAGCACTGGAAAAGGGCTGTGACTACTGTTCTATGCCCTTGATGGTATCAGATTATCTGCTAATAAGTACTTAATATGACCATGATAGTCATTACATTAAGCTCCCCTTGCTTTATTTGCCAGCATAACTATTTGAATTGAGTTTGAACACTGTTAGTGGAAAAGAGGATGTATTTAGAGGATGTACATACAAGTTGCTTTCTACTAGAACAATTAATAATAGGTCTTGGTTGTTGGTCATAAGTCATTATTTCTGAATGATTTTCATGCCTGTTTGATTTTCCAGATTCTACAGATCAAGCAGGACAATGACAAGAAGGAAATTAGTCTTGAAGCTCATCACATTGAGGAGCTGAAGCTTGCTGAATCTGAAGCTATGCATGTAGAAAGAGAGGTAACCATAACATGATTACCATAAAATTCCGTAGATAATTGAAAATCACTCAGTTAGTAATATATTTTGCAGAAAATAGCGGCACTAAGAAGTGAGCATGAGGCTCAAATGAAAACTTTGAGAAGCCAGTATGAAGATGTGCGCAGGAAGCTACAGGACGAGTTGGATCTCCAAAAGGACAAGGTTCTCAACTTCACATATATTGAGAGTGCTCTTTCAGAAACATTTATTCAGACTCTTAAGAGAAACAAGTGGCTGTGGAAATTTTAGGAAGACAAGCAGAGGGCTCTGCTGGAGATGCAGTTGAAAGTGATGAGTAACAAGCGAGGAGATGATCAAAACGTGAACTTTAACAAGGTACCCACCCTTATTCCAGAATAGCTCTTTGGCATTGTTCACCAAAATATGCGCTTTGAGCTGGTGTTTAAGGATAGACATATTACTCTTGGTCACATAATTAAAGCTCTTGTTAGTAGTAATGTCAAACACGGGATTTGAGGAGCCATGCTCATCCCTTCCTTACAAAGGACCTGCATTACTCTTGTTTAAGTTTGTTCTACTTGCATTATTCTCATTTAAGCTTGTTCTACATGCATTACTCTTGTTTAAGCTTGTTCTATTTGCAGTACTCTTCTTCAAGCTTCATCCATATGCATTACTATTATTTCGGCTTGTTCCACATGCATGATGGAATTAAGAACACGATGCCTATCTTGCAGGAACACTCCGTTTCATCAGTCCAGATGTTAGATCACCGAAAGATCCGAAAAAGTCCAAGATCACTGGCAAGGCCAGAGACTGCTAAGAGAGGAAATGCAGTGGGTATCCCCATGCATCCCAAGAAGGTCTGTTAACCTCCCTAACCTTCAGCTGTGTCTCTTTTCGAAGTCTGTGTGTTACAGACAGTTCACACACTGAATCACTCACTCTGACCTTTCTTGCATTGCAGGTCACCCGTCCAGAGTACGAGGTTGAGACTGCCGATGGCAGAACAATTGCCAAGCGCAGAAAGACGAAAATTACAGCTGTGCTCGAGGTTAGTGACTGACATTCAGCAAAAAACAGCTGTTTCTTGGATTTCTTTCTCTGTCCCCGTGTTGTAATTAGGGCCCTATGAAACAGAATAAGAGGAGCACGCCCAAGGCTGTTATTACTCCAAGAGTTGCACTCAAGGTAATGTTAAAACCATCTTTTTCTTGATGAGATCTGGAAATGTTGCTTGCTTCCTTCTTCTAACTGTCTGGCTGCCATATCCTGCCTTCCAAGGAAAGGCATTTTCACCTGAATAGTTTAAATCAGCCATTAGCTTTCTACTTAATGAATTTCCTGGCTTCGGCTTTCCTATGCAGCGAATCAAGGGCGCTACTGCTACCCCGCTGCATCGTCCTTCGAACATAGGAGACCTGTTCTCCGAAGGATCGCTGAATCCATATGCAGACGACGATCCCTACGCTTTTGTTTAGATGCCTTCTTTTATCTGGCCATTCATTGACTGCTGTACACCGTGCTGTTTGTCAGGTAACATCACCACTTCACATATACATCACTCACTCTCCATCAGTCATTTTTCGTGTCTTCTTCCTATCTCTCTGCATTCTTACAGTGCCTTCTGTGCTCGAATCTGATACAATCTGTTGTTCGTATTTTGCTGTGTTCTTGTTGCAGATAAACAGTAGAGCATGAGAGAGGTTGAACTCTAACTACGAGGTGAGAATTTCCCATTGTGTTTGCATTGCATATAGGAACCTTACAAGCATAGTGTTGCTTACACCATTGCTACTCTTTAGTTCAGCTTTCAGCAGTTTATTCGTAAACGAACAGACAGTTACATGCTCTTCTGCTATGGCGCGATTGCTATCGTAAATGACTGCAGGGTGAATGGGCTATAGCCCATAGCTATCATCGTTACAAGTGGCCCAAACCACTCCTGTGAAACGGGCGGGCTTTAGCCCAAAGCGAATCATCGTTTGTGAGACTATGACCCATTGACCCTACATATAAATCTCTATTCCGGAATGCATGGATCAGAGATCAACACCGTGATCCTGATTACCGTCTTTTTTACCTAGCAACACCGTGATCCTGATTAGCGGCGGATGATATCAAAGTCGTTCTGATTCGGAATTATACTCGTTCCGAAGATAAAACCTACGCTTCATCTCCAGTTTTCGTGTATACATTTGCGGAGCAATTGCTGGAGCGAGTTAGCAGAGCAGTAAGCTACCCGTCCGTCACTAGTGCCGAGATTTAGCTCCTCGTTGAATCGTGATACTCATATTTACATTAACGGGTTCATCTTCTACTGGCTATTTACAGACGAATCTATAGACGACTTTAATATCGGGGACCTTTGATTATTATGTGATGGCATTTGATACGGGGAGCGATGTTTTTTCACCAAGATAAACTGCCCTACCGGCACCTCTCAACTTGCTGTACTCGGCATGTATCGTGATTCGGTTGCTCTGATTGACATGTTCATGCATCCAACTGTTGATGTGTGGTTGTTGAGTAGGCATGATGATGATGATGGACAGTGGCGTTGGATCGAACATACGAGAGCTTCGTTCCTTTCCCTGAAATGACAGTTGTAAAAAGGATGGTGGAAGAAGGACGATCAGATTATCGCTCAAATAGACGACAGATGGTGAACTCATATTATATGGCATTGGGAGTAAAGAATACAGAGTTTTGATAAACAACTGCTGGGTGGTAGAGTGTTTAGTTATTTACAGAGGAAGCTTGAGCCTGCATTAAATAAGGATCACCAAAATGTGCTTCTTTAATCTTTGGCTTAGCTCTCTTTTCGTGTAGTTTCCGCTCCAGCCTTTCCTTTGCTATAACAGTATTTGTTTGATCTTCTACGGTTTTTGTGTGTGACCAATGCAGATTGCAGCATATGGACATAGTTATATGTTTTTGTGTGTGGAAGTTACTTAATTAGCTCGTCTCTTTCTTTTGAAGTTTGATGGAACTTGGCAAAAGAACAACTCAAGCAAGCTACTCTGATTGAGTTTTGTCGGGAATCTTATGTTGATTGTATGGTTGAACTCTATCCTGATTAGAGGGACAATATTGTGGATATATTTAGGCGGATTTTGAAATGGAAGTCAAAGAAGTAGGTAGTCGATCAATATCGAAGTGATTTACTTACGAGAGATACATATGTCAAGGTACGATTAAGGAGTTCTCTACTTCCTCCATCGATTCCTCGGTGAAGGACCATGTATGGACAGAATTGTCGATTTTCCCACAGGGTGATGTATATGTCGTTAATATGAGAAGATCCCTTCTCGTATTAATTTGGTTGAGTTGATAGCTAACTTGGATATAGATCTCATGGAAATGGACATCATCATATGTTAAGTTAGAATCCCCAAATTCACCATCAAATTTGCCAACATAGGTTTGTCAAGTGGTTATGAAGTCCAATTTTAAATGATAAGATCCTAGTAATAAACCTGGAATGCTTAAAATCACACATCTTCCCCGATCAGACAACCATGAAAAATGATTCACCATGAAGATAATATTAAGAAGTTCAAGATTCAATGACCAATTTTTTATTGACTTTAACATTTAACGACCATCAGTATAATTAATCTGATATAATTTTGTGTATCGAATGTCACAATGGAATGTTGAGGCAAAGTTGGTGCATCTTTTTTAGATGGCATTTGGATTGTCTTTGTTAGATTTGGAAGACAAGGCTTTGATTTCGAGAACCATGGTATGCTATAGCTAGAATTGGATCAAACCCCATTCATTCTCTATTTTGCTGGTTTTGATACCTTATATGTCAATTAATGGAGTGGTCAGGCAACCATGCATGCTTTTAATCTCTTTATTTAATGCTTAGGCAAAAAACGAGAAGGCAATGCATTTCCCCTTCTTTTCAGTTTTGCACTTGAAGTATGTATGGCTCTTAATTCGGAGCAATTCAAGTGGTTAGGAGAACTCGATTGTATGTACTCATGATAAATTTGTATACTGGTTAGGTGTTCATATCGAGGGTTAACTAGATTTGTTTCGTGAATTAGTGGTCCTAATAGCTCAAATTATTGAAAAACTTTGTATAATGGATCTTATATCATTCCCTTTCATGCTCTCTTATGCGGTACTCAACCCATGAACTTAAAGTATACATAGACATGTAAACATCTTGATTAGAAGCTCTTATTAGAGTAAGCTCATCTCGATAAATAAAATTGTTGGAAGAAATATCGTATTAAACCTTCCGTGCGATATACACAAATTTCTTATATGACTATGACTCATCAATTGTGCAAATAAAAGCAAATTTTGTATCCACGTCGACGGTAGAATAAGTTGTAATATAAACAACTTTGGGGGAAGGCAATCACAACAAATAATTAAAGTTAATTTGGACAAATACCCAACATAAATAAGATATATCCACATATTCAAATAACGCCCTTAATTCCTTTGTTCCCCTTTGATCCCTTCCCTTTTCATTCTTTACATTTCCATCCTTTCTCCCTTAATATCCACCCTCTCTTACATATATCCAACCCCTCAATTACCGCATATAAAACACACACACACAAAAAAAAAAAAAAACCCCACATCAATTACCAAAACAACACAAATTAATTAGTAAACATTGCTGCACATGTTTGGACCATCCTACACGATTACTCAATTCAATGAGTGTACCTGAAGCAACGGGTTGCAGCGGTGCAACCCCTACGATAAGGGTTGACCCTCTTGTGCGCATCGCAATCGTAGTAGGAGTTTCCACGCCAGCCACACGGGATACTGTTTGCCCTAAGTGCTTCGTAGGTGATGTACCTCTGCCTCTCCGGGCCCATCTCCCATAACAACCTGTCGTGACTCTCCATATCCATCATGGAGTCGTCTCTATCCGCGTTGAAGCAATGCCCTTCCATGGCGTCGCAAGTGGCCAGCGTCGTCCCCTCCCTAGCTTCTCCGTCGCAGCTCGATGGAGGATCGACATTGTGGTGAACAGTAGTGCTTATTGTAGAAGATGATTCGTCGACGGCTGCCATGGTTGTGGCTGAGGCGAAGAGAATGGACAAGACGAGGAGGCAGTGGTTAGGGGAAGCCATTATGGAGTTGTGTTTGTGAATGTGGTGATGATGATGATGAAGAAGTTTTGAGCTGTTGATGAGTGAATATATAGGAGTTGAAATTGTGTAATGTGTACGGATTGGGTCAGTTAGACTAAAAGAGGTCACTAGATTTTGGGGTTACGAACAAATGGGTCATTCATTTTTTAGTGGTGCTATTTTCATTTAATTTAAGGCAGGGTTGTCACGCCGGCCGGTGTGCCACTGGTTGAACCTGGTTCAACCTGTACCGGTCATAAAACCGGCATGACACCACCGGTATGACCGGCACGATCGATATACGAATCTCCAAGTAAAATTATCTTATCTTAGTGAATTTAATTGATAAAAAGTAGTTTATTATTTGTTTTATGTGTTAAAAAGTTAAATGTTGATGTTATTTGTTGGATTCAAGTACAAATATTTAGGTATTTACGTTAAATGTCATGTTTAAATATGACTATTTGTAAATTATTTGTAATATTAACCGGTATGAACCGACACAAACCGGTATGTACCACCGGTCGAACCATTCTACTTACTAAACCGGCACACTGACATAAACCGGTTTGACAACCTTGATTTAAGGTAATCACATAGACGTTTCTAATGGGAATGTTGAGGCAAAGTTGGGTCACCTTTTTAGGTGGCATTTGGATTGTCTTTGTTAGTTTGGAAGAAGATGCTTTGATTTCGAGGCAAAGTTGGTTGAGGCAAAGTTGGTTCATCTTTTTAGGTGGCATTTGGATTGTCTTTGTTAGTTTGGAAGAAGATGCTTTGATTTCGAGAACCGTGGTATGTTATAGCTAGAATAGGATCAAACCCCATTCATTTGCTATTCTGCTGGTCTTGATACATTATATGCCAACAATGGTAAGGGGTGGACTGTGATAGTGTGGGTGCGTGGTTTGGTTTCCGTATATATTTATAGATATCAAATAAAGAAACATCATTAAATCACCATCTTAAAGAAAATCAAATATGAATGAGCAACCACAACAACTCAATAGTTGATCAGCTCGCGGCAGAGCGCATTCCCAACCTAGTTCACATGTAACTAATTAAAGTTAAGTGGTTAGTATGCAACTAAACCTTAATACTAGGCATCATGCACATTTAACCCGGTATGACTAAAGGAAAAAAACAAATAATCTATAAAGTTCTATACCACTATAAGTGACTAGCTTGTGCCCCGACACATTGGTCGGTTGCAATACGATAATAGTATTTAATAAAGCTTTAAAACTTAAATTTCAGTAATCTTCTCTTCTCTTATATTCTTGCCATAATTAAGTCAATGTAAAGCGAATTAAGAAACAAAGGTATCAATTTTACAAAATAGATAGCAAAGTAGTTTCCTAGATTTTACCATTAAGAAGGTCAATTTTTTTTTTTTAGGTAATGATGATATAGTATTCTTATAAGAAAGTCAAAAAATTCCATTGCTGAAAATGAGCATCTATGGTATAGATTACTAACATGTTCCTTCTATGCTGATTCTTGTTGAAATTCAAAATGTAGGACTATGCAAGGAATTATTAACTCATATTACTTCATGATACAATATTATAGGTATTCCAAAATAACTGGTACTGGTATTACCTTTTTATCATCAAGAATCTTCATTATTAATTTCACTATCCTCATGAAACAATAAATGCTTTTTATTTTTACATTTCTTGTGAAGCAAATTCAAACACAAAACACAATCATATATTGAAATGCAATTTACATAATTTTGGGTAGAAAAAACTAAATTGAGTAGGTCCTCGTCCCGGAACCCACTTATATATGTGGGGCGAGACGAGACTAACTCATTTCACCACCATAACTCCAACGGGCCTCGATTATATTCAAATCTGAAATCTGCAACTCCCAAACATTCACTGTTGCGGCAGCTTTACCGTTAGACTATCCTACCTTTCATGACTATAACCCAACGCTATTATCGTTAATATGGCCCAAAATCTTCCAAATCATCATCTTATAAACGGGCTCTAAAGTCATCAATCATCCTTATGAATCATTGAGGCATACATATCTTTGCCTCGGGTCTCTTTTCGCGTAGTTTTCCTTTGCTATAATTGTATTTGTTTGATCTTCTATCAGTTTTGTGTGTGACCAAATGATCAATCCAGAATGCAGCATATGGGCATATAGTTATATTTTTTTTTTGTATATGTAAGTTACTTAGCTCTGTTCTTCTGCTGTGTATTTACTTGCGCTGCAAGCTTTGTTCATCCTGCGGTATTCATCTATTTTTTTTTCCGGTTTGCCCATATTATGGCTCTCAACGTCATCAAATTTCCAAATGGAAGTCAAGAGATACGGTCTCCAATTTGTAATGTGTTTATTATTAGATCAATCAGCAGAGGAAATAATTACATCCCCAACTCCTTCATTAGTACACCATATTTTCCATAGTTAAACACTTCCTTATATCATCCTTTTATTCATGAACTTTTCCCCATTGTTCTGATCATATCGCACATACATCTGAACAATGATCTGCTGGGTATAACACGTACAATAACATACCTGTCTCTGATCTGATGTAGCTTCCTCGCCTTCTTCATCTTCTTCTCGACTTTCCCACAGGGTGGTGGCATGTCGTTTGCCCTCAGGGCTTCGCGGCTGATGTACCTGTCTCTCTGCTTTGTCTCGGTGATGTTGTTGCCGGTGCGAGGATCGACATGATGATGAACAGCACTTGTCGATGATGATTCTTCGTTGTCCGAATTGCGATGGCTGCAGTTGTAGTAGTAGTAGTAGTAGGAATTGCCAACTTTCGCACATGGTATGCTGTTTTGCCTCAGGGCTTCGGAGCTAATGTACCTGTGATCTCTCTGCTGTGGGTTCTTTGTCTCGGTGACACTGTGATGAACAGTACTTGTCGAAGATGATTTGACGGCGGCGGCGACGGCGGCCGTGGTTGTGGCTAAGGCGAGGAGAATGGGCAGGATGAGCAGGCAGTGGTTATGGAAAGCCATTATTGTGGTTGTGTGTTGTACGTCAATGTGATGGTGAGGATGGAGTTTGAGTTTTTTCACTTTTTGGATAAGTGAATATATAGGGAGTTGGTATTGTGAGCGGTTTGGGTGGATTAGACTAAAAGGTCACTATATTTTGGGTTACTAACAACTGGGTCATTGTTTTTTTTAGTTGTGCTAAGGTTGAACTGAGTCACTCCATCCATTTCATTTAATTTTATCCGGACCAGCATGTCAATTCATCTAAACTTTGATGATATAAAAGGTAATCAAATAAACGTTTCTAATTGGCTATCACAGACCTGGAGGAATGGATCGGATTCGTTTCGAGCAAGCTGGGTTAGAATTAGATCGAGTAACGAGTTTGCTCTAATGGGGGGCACACGTTACAATGGGGTTGTCCATATCAGCTAATTAGGGTCGAGAAGACCTTTTTCATATGAATTTGGTTGAGTTGATTGGTAACTTGGATGTAGATCTCATGGGAACGGACAATAGGATATTTGAAGTCCGAATTTCATAATTCACCATCATATTTGCCAATGTAAGTTTGTCAAATGGTTATATCAACAAATTTGAAATGGCTAGATCCTTCCATAATGTATAAAATCCCATATATCTTCAGGTTGAGACACCCATAAAAAATAATTCACCATGCATTAGTATAATTAACCCGATATGATTTTGTGTATTGAATGCCACAATGGGAATGTTGAGGCAAAGTTGGTGCATCTTTTGTGGATGGCATTTGGATTGTCTTGTTAGGTTTGGAAGAAAAAGGCTTTGATATGCTATAGCTAGAATTGGATCAAACCACAATCACTCTCTTTTTTGCTGGTTTTGATACGTTTATATGTCAAGAAGAGGGTGAAGTGTGATAGCATGGGTGGTGACTTGCAACCATGCTTTTGATCCCTTCATTTAATGCTTAGGCAAAAAACGAGAAGGCAATGTCTTTCCCCTCCTTTATGGTTTTGTACTAGAAGTATATGGCTCTTCATACGAGTAATTCAAGTTGTTAGGAGGAGAAGTCCATTGTATGCACTCGCGATAAATTTGCACATCGGTTAGGTGTTAGTATTGAGGGTTAATGTAATCAGTTTTATGAATTAATTGGTCCCAAGTTTCCTATCACTCAAATTATTGAGAGATGTTGTATAATGGATCTTATATCATTATACACTCTTAAACGATATTTAACTCATGAACTTAAAATTTACACAGACATGTAAACACCTTGGCCAAAATAGCCAGCTCATCTCAAGAACTGAAATCGTTGGAAGAGATACATAATTAAACCTTTTATTATTTATTCGTGGTTGTGTATAAAGATTTCTTATATAGAAGAAAAAATTATATAAAGAATTCATGCAATGTCAATGATTTGAATCCACTAGGTATAGAAATGAAATTAGAGAGGAAACACAATCCATTCGAAAAATTCGCCATAAGACACATGAGGGTTAGTGTTGGTTGAAGTCATAAGAATGATTGATGAATGTATAAAGCTAAATTATGAAATACATATAACAATAATAAATCCAGGGGACAATATTGACGAGTTAATTAGAAATATTTTTGGTGAGTAAATCACAGCAAATAATGAAGTTTGGAAAAATACCCACTATCAATAAGATATAATATATCCCCATATTACAAACAACACCCCCTCCATTGTTCCCCTTTGATCCCTTTCTTTTTCCTTTCTTTGCACTTCCATCCTTAATTTCTCCCATTAATTAACAATACAAAAACAAACTAGTAAACATTGTCACACATGATTCGATCATCCCGCACGATTTACTCATTCAATGAGTGTACCTGAAGCAACGGGTAGCAGCGGTGCAACCCCTACGGTAAGGGTTGACCCTCTTGTGCGCATCGCAATCGTAGTAGGAGTTTCCACGCCAGCCACACGGGATACTGTTCGCCCTAAGTGCTTGGTAGGTAATGTACCTCTGCCTCCCCGGGCCCACCTGCCATAACAACCTATCGTGACTCTCCATATCCATCATGAAGTCTGTATCCGCGTTGAAGCAATGTCCTTCCATGGCGTCGCACGTGGCCATTGACATTCCCGCCTCGTTGGTGTGGCCTATGTCGTCGCCTGTCATTGACTGTGCCATCGATTCGACTGCTACTGCCGCGATGGCCATGACGAGAAGAATCATCGAGACATTTCTGGAGTTCATGATATCAGGGAAGAAAGAAAGGCGCAATTTTTTCGATAGGTGTTTTGGGAGAGGGGAGGGAGAATTGTATGTGTGTAGGCCCTTGACCCTTCCTGATCCGGAGAAGAGGAGGAAATGAGAGTGTGATGAAATGGAGAAAGGAAGAAACTTTGTGGCAATGTAGACATGGTGGGTTGTCAGAAGTTATTTTTGGGGATTAAAATTGGATGTTGGAGTTTTTCTGTGTGGTTGGTAATTTTTAGATTTTGTTGTGTGTTTGTCAGTTAATTAGTTAGGTTATCAATTAATTACCATTGGAGTAAAACGGTATGCTCTTTTCTTGCCGCTTGTCATGCTCTGCCATTGGGTTGATGTTAAAAGTTTCAATTTGGTTATTTTCGGATGAACATCCGTTGACCAATGGAGTTTGGATGAGGTTGATTAGTCCACGAAGAATTAATTAGGTCGTAGCTATGCATTGTCAAAGTTTTTTTTTTTTTTAATATATCCTGTTGTTCGTTTGGAGTTTTGGCCAAACCACTTGGGCGCTAGGTCCAATGTGAGTACCGAGTAGGATCAGTTAGCCATTCTTCAGAATTGGATTCATACTTGTACATTTATAGAAAACATTGATTTATATAAACCGAAGAAATGTTTTTCTTCCATTGGTTGTTGATCCTAACGTTCGAATCCAGATAAATGTTTTCTCTTCAATGAAACATTGAAATTCCTATGTTCTACCAAAAAACTTCTATGGCATAAGCATAAGAAATGGTGTCACTTCAATTAATGAATCTTTAGTAAATGTTCGTGAATTTTCTATATTGTCTGGTTTTCATCAATTCTCCTATTGAACTTTTTGTGATTGTCTCGCCTATTTTCTTACAATTAGTGAGTGTGTTTTCTTTATTTTTTCATTAAAAACATAATATTACTTGACCTCTATATCCCCCTGAATTAAATGCATTAAAAAAGCACAGTTAGTTTGTCCTAACTCACACTATGAATCAACTCACCTGACCAAAATTTATGCACTGACACGAAGTAAGTATACTACAAGGATTGAAATAATAACTCCATTGTTTATACATTGTCATTTCTGATATACCCAAATAAATCAGAATCTAAATCGCTAAACTGTCGAATTCGATCTGAACAAGATTATATACTTGAGTCGCACCCAAGTTCCCTTAAGAACACTCATTCAGATTTTGTAACTTGTCATTCTTCATTTGTATTGAGTTGATAATATGCCCTTTGAATTTGGGTTGAAAACTTGAAACCCAATTTCTGAGCATCCTACTAATTTCCAAGAAGTTCTCGTGGAAACCAGACGTATGTACATCATTTGGTGGCTAGAAAGACCCTTTCAATGTACCCGACTGCGTGTCGTGATTTTGATTTCCAGGCCTGGCTGTGTATTCCAGGATGTAACTATCTTCTTTTATTGATTAATATATATCTTTTGTTAAAAAAAAAACTAGACGTATGTACATAATTAGCCCACCAAGAAACATCCAATCGCAACAGCGCGTACGCCTGACATCATCATGGGCTCATCACAGATTTAAGTAACTGTCAAACTGATTGCGATCCTTCCACGTAAGCCACCAGATCGCGAACGCGTGTCCCTATCCTAGGGGTGGATGGAGACAACCATCTGGATATGTAGGTCAAGATCCATGAAGCGGCCCACCAGAGAACGAACAAATTCAACGTCAAGGCAATAACTGGACATGGGCTCCGGCGAGCACCAAAGGCCCACATATTACACACCTGTCACTTGCTGGACTGCTGATCCAAACTCTAGCATTTTCATTACTGGCTGATTACACTAGCCAGTAGCCACTCCAAAAAATTATCATGTGAGAGGATGTATTGTAGAATGAGAATGCTTTGGGCTTTATCTAATTATATAAAAAAAAATGTTGAGAATGAAAACTTTCAATATTAAAACTATATATAGATTCTTACAATGCTGTCGTTAAATATATATGAGTTATTGAAATTAACGTATTATACATCACATGTTTTCTTGTTACGATAATTTGTCATAGGTGGATCGTGCCTATTAAAATAAAAATAATATTATTTGCTATAGGTTTAGCCAAATCAATACAGTATAATATCGCAGATATAAAATGAGAAAGATATTAAGATAGGACTTGATCAACCATGGACATCGCAAAATTCATAAAGACCTCGTTAACTTTGTCCGACCAGCTGTAATGATTACGAACTAGACTAACACCGTTGCCTATGAGCTACGACTCGACTTATAGCCTCGTATCACCCACAAATCGATTCGACCTTGACCAGTTATCCGGCTTTGTTATATCCTTTTTAGTTTTGTATTTATCCATACGGGTTTTGATTTTGGAAACAAAATGAAGGAAAATTCCCTCAAACATGGTACCAAGCCATCAACAAAATGTGCTATAGAATTATTAGCTACATTTTATGTACATGGTAAAATACTATAGTAGTTGAGTGGTTAGAGTTAGATAATATTGATGCTAGTGGGTCCATAACATTGGTATTAATGTTGATATTGTGTACTAATTTGATTATGAAGTACATAACATTGGTTGCTAATTAATCATATTCTATAATGTGAGTATGTAACTTCTCTTCTTCTCAACCACCCACATCAATCCACTTCCTATACGTGGCATCCCCTTAAAAACCCTTTCAAATAATCAAAAGACCTACTCCAAAATTAGATTTGACCATCCTTATATATTATTAATCATCTGGGTCAAAGCAATGTTTATAGGTTCCATTATACAATTGATTAATTTGTCATTATCCAAAAGGTTATAAACATGGACTAGATGGATCAACCCAAAAACTTAAAGGGGTAAAGATGAGAAGAATTAGAGCTGGGATTATCTATTTTAGCTACATTTTAAGTATACTGACATGAGAAGGTAGATTTTTTTTCTTTAAACAAGAACTTACGATCACATCTACAATTAAAGGGGATGTAGTAGATGTACATTTAAGAAGAGCAACAAATGTTTTTAAACAATCATATGGTACCATACGAGGTGATCATCAATACGTACACTTTAGTAGCATTATCTTTTTCTTCTAACTTGAACTTGTTATCTTAGTTTGGTTGGTTACATATGAATTCAACAAAATCACGATTGTAATTCGATCTAGAAGTATTGATATTCAACCTAGTTGGGTATCTTTTTTTCTTTGTGTAAGTAATCCGTCTAGAAAGGATTGACTAGCTAACTATAGTGGCTAGTGGCGGGAATAAGGCATCTCAAAGTGGAAAAGAACCCTAAAAATTATACTAATGCAAAGATGATGATTATTCCCGATTTCTTAGTCAAATATCAACTTGCACCAAAAATGAGTTTCATTTTTTTTTTCTTCCATAGAAAAATGGGTTTCGTTGTTACCAAAGTAGTTTCTAAAAGGGCAAATTAAAAAGAATAGGGTTTAGGTTATGTAGCTTGGATTACAAGGCTTCCTGCGTCATCATGTTTAATTAATCCCATAGGTTATTTGTACAATGATTACCCATATTCTAATATAGTAATCTATTCCTTCTTCTGCGTATTGGATCACTCTTTTCCTTTTTGCAAATATACTAACATGGGTAATGGTGTTCAAGAAAGCTACTCATGCCTCTTTGCTTTTAATTGAGATTACAGAATAATATAAATATAATTAACCTTAACATGATATTTTTCTCAATCACATTTAGATTTATATCAATTGCCTGCACCTGCAGCAGCCCGTGAGTGCAATTTTCCGTTCCGTTGGATATTATCGGAATCGCTTTTATTATTATTTCAGCATGAATTATAAATAGTCAAATTTTTAACTTTTAAGTATCTACAAATTTTTTATCGAGAATCAATTCAGATTCTTAACATGCTTTCTTGAGACTAATTCAACAATAAAATTTCGACATTAATACATTAAAATTATAAATATCGGAAGAAAAAAACTTGAAGCAATAGCCTGAATGCCTGATAGGATAGATTGGTAAAAAACCCAGAAAACAATCATAACGAAAATCAAACTAAACCGGTTCGAAATCGACTGGTCTCTTTCTCATATCAATCGTTGATGGAGAAATCCCAAAAAATATCAACAAACCCAAAAAAAAAAAAACGAAACTTAAAAAGGCAAGAAATTGAAGGTGCAGTGAGTCTCATAATCACAGACACCTGGTTGTGATGATTTGTCCGTTTCACAGCTTTCATTCGAGTACTCACCCGTGCTCCTACACAGTACTTAGCTCTCTTCTTCTAATTTGCTTTCTCCCTCCATCTCTCTAGTCATTCTTCATACCTTCTTGTCCATTTCCCGTTTGGCCTCAACAACTCCCAGCTCCTGCTTTCCCTCCATGGTTCCTCCAGCTTGCTAAACTCTGCTGCTTCTTGAAAGGTAGCCACTTTTCTATTTTGTTCTAGTTTTCATAGATGGGTTTTCGTTTTCCTTACTTTTCAATTTCAAATCCCTTCCATGGCTTCGTTTTTATTGTTTTTTTGGGGGAGAATTTCATGGTGGGTTCTCTGAGTTTCACCTGCTCTTGCCTGATTGCCTCCTCTGGTTCTCTTCTTCACCTCTGTAGCTCTCTCCTCTCTGTTTGACCTTGTGTAGAGTTCATAACAGTTGAATTCTGGTTTTTTTTTTGGGGGTAAGATCCATTGTGCTCTTTTCAGTAGTTAATTGGTGGTTGGTTTCCTTGTCATTTTCCAACTGATAGCAGATCGGGGTAAGTTCAAGAGTGCCAATCATGGAGGCTAAGGACCACCATATGGAAAAATCGCCTCGTCTTAACAAGGTGAAAATGAAGTTCCTTTCTTTACTTCACCTGTTGTTTTCAGCAATTGGTTTATGATCTTGATCGTTTCTCAAAATTTGGTTGGTTAATTTTGGTCTTAAAGGTTGCTAACGTGGAGCAGCAGTTCCTGGAGATGATCCATTCCTCCAAGGGTTTATGGCATTCGGAGGTTCAACTCATGTATAAAAAAATATGTTCTTGTTATGCGAAGCTTCTTGTTCTTGGTGATCCCAAGCTGGAAGAGCTTCAAAATGTTGAGTACTCGCTGTGGAAGCTTCACTACCGCCTTATTGACGAGTTTCGCAAGAGATTGAGACGAATTCCTGCTAATGGAGAACCTACTGCTGAATCTGTTGATGGGTTCAAGTCATTTCTATCAGAAGCAAGCTTATATTACCAGAATTTGATTCTTAAACTTAGAAAAAGCTATGGCCTCCAGGAGGGCTTTACTTTGGGTAGTAAAAATGGTGGAATGCAGAACAAGAAGCTTCAGTTCTTGTGCCATCGGTTTCTAGTTTGTCTAGGGGATCTTGCAAGATACAAAGAACAACAATGCGACAAATCGAGCCAACCGAACTGGTCCATTCCAGCTAGCCATTACTTGGAAGCCACAAAGGTTTGGCCTTTCAGTGGCAACCCTCAAAATCAGGTACTTGATAGCTGTTAGCTTCTTGCTTGCTTCTTCAACACAGCATATATGTGTAGCTTGAACTAAACCAGTTAGTTTGTTGGGTTCCTATAGTTGGCAGTGTTGGCTACATATTTTGGAGATGAGTTCCTAGCTTTGTACCATTGCATAAGGAGCTTAGCTGTTGAAGAACCTTTCCCTGATGCATGGAATAACCTTCTCTTGCTATGTGAAGAAGTAAGAATCATAAATTTCCTTCATCTTTCATGATTGATATTCCTTCCAAAAGAATGCCTGCTTATTGGCGCCTGTTCTTTTGGATCATTTGCAGAACAAGTCATCTCCATTAGCTTCCATTTCCAGTGATGCAGATTTTGATTTCCTGAAACAAGCATCTAGTGGTCAAATGACATCAGATTGCAAAGTCATCAAAGAACAACAAGAAGAAGAATCCAATAGTGGAGCGAATTTGTGGGTTCTTATTATCAGAGTAATAAGCTTCTTCTTCCTAGATTCAAGGTACTTATTGATTGGAATCTTCCTTCAACCTGCTGTTATCTAATAAATCTGCATGCAATCTGATTTCTAAATCCATGTGTTTATATCTCTGAGGTAGTTTGGAGGAGTTTCCTAGTACTTTTGCATCTGCCATCAAGGAGCTGGAAACATTACTCTCACTAGATGATACAAAGCTGAAAGCTGCCCTGGAATCCTATCACTATAAGGACTCTATTAGAAAGCAACCTTTCCGAACACTTCAATTCGTGTGCATATTCATCTTTGTGATCGAGCATCTCAGAAACAAAAAAGAAGATGTCAATGAGGCAATGCAATGGGCATTGACTTCTACATTCATGGTAATGGGACGCCTCGTGGACAGATGCTCGAAGGCCAAACCTTCATCCTCATGCCCCCTGTCACCAGCTGTACTCATTTTTATCGAGTGGTTAGAAACCAACTTCGTGGACTTGGAAAGATATGGCTCGGATGATAGAACTACAGTGGGCACGGCCATATCTTACTTCTTCAGCTCTTTAAACGAACTACTGAAGAAGCTGGATGGTGAAGAGACTGAAGGTGATGAATTTGAAGTCAATCTTCCTCTTTGGGAAGACCATGAGTTGAGAGGGTTTGCACCTTTAGCTCCTTCTCATGCTGCATTAGATTTTTCCTCAACTCATCATCAAGGCTCATCAGATAGTTTCGAGTGTGGGAAACGAAGCCGTGCTCATAGAATAATCAATGCTGCCAAGAAAATTTCTGGCAGATCAAGTGGCGACCGGAAATGGTTCATTTATGACTTCTGTAGCTCGAGAATTGATGCAGCAGACGACGAGGAATCAATTGCTGGCAAAGGAAATGACAAAGCTGTGACCGATGAGAAATCAGGTAACCATCGGGCAAATGGGAAATCTGGTGCTGGTTTCTTAGACGAGGAAGAAGTCATTCTTTTCAAGCCTCTTACTAGACATAACTCTGAACCTATATACAAAAGCTGGAGCAACTGTTTCGAAGATCCCATGCCATCTTCAAGGGAAGCTGGGAACCAGGCAGTAGCTGCTGATGAGTGTTTGAGACGTGCAACGTCCTTACTGATAGCACAAAATCCGGCACAAGTAGATAACGACAACAATGGTTTCCCTTTCCATTCAGACCTCGCTAATTTCAGGCGCAGCAACAATTTGCAGCAGCCTATGAATGACACAGTTACTAGCATGTTCTCGGAGCCTTCCATCTCCCCTTTGTTCGGTTCCACCATTGCAGCAGGCCCCCCTTCACTCAATGCTTGGGTCTCGCCTTCCTCATCCGGCCACGAGAAGACAAGAGGGAAAAGTGTGAAGCAAACATTAGCACCCATTGAAGAAGCAGCAGCAGCAGCAGTAGTAGCATCTTCATCATTGAGTGAGCTCTCTATCAGTGAACCAGAGGCAAATACCAGCATCAGCTCAGGCCATTTGTCTTACTCACCTCCACTTCCTTCAGCACCATTTCTGCCTGATGATGATTGTTCCACCTGGCCTAGCAACTGTAACATTCCACCGCCGCCGCCCCCTCATTTCTCTGATCATCATCAACAAGCACCAGCCGGCTTCTCGAATTGGAATGGTCTTCCTCGTGATTACACTTACTATCCTCCTGGATTCGCATACCCGCTACCACAACAACAGCGGAGAATGACTTCTGCCGAGTGGCTGAGGCAATACAGGGAGAACAATCATAGGGCCAATGGTCACTTGTGGCAGCCCCCAAGTTATGGTAATCATGTTAGTTCTGATCAGCAATGGGGGATTCCGCCGCCATTGGTTTATGACCACCCGCCATCGATGATGCAGCCGGGGTTCGCTCCAGTTCATGGTTACTTCCCAAGTAGACAGGGGTTGTACGGGGAGAGTCCTTCGTTGAATGAGCCGGAGCCACTTTTGCAGTATCTCAAGGAGAAAGAATGGCTGATCCACCATAAAGATTCAAACTTTAGAGGACCCACGTTTATGGGAAGCTAGCTGATGCTAAAATACTTCAGTTCCTGGATTTGTGTAAAATTCATGTCAATGAGATCGTAGTTAGTACGTGACTGGTTTGTATGTATGTACGTATTCATCATGTATGTATGTAAATTTATGTATATCAGTATATGTGTATGTATATAATCTAAGTATACTTATTTTGTTTAGCTGTTTTTCTTGGGTAAGAGCTTCAGATAACAGAAGAGAGTGGAGAAGTAGAATGTCTTCTTTTCTGGGATTCGACTTTTGAGCCTATTGGGTGTCGAACAAGGTTAGGGCTGGAGATCGGTTCGGGTCCTAGTACCCGGACCCAAATATGCGGGTACCCGGACCCAAAAAATGTCAGTTTGAGGAACCAGACCCGACCCAGACTCGGTTCTTGGGTACCCGAGACCCAAAGTCACGGTTCTCGGGTATGGTTCGGTCACCCGAATACCCATAAGCCACCGAAGACAACTTGTTACAGCAGCTCTCTTCCTCCCACCTGCTCGTTCCATGCTTGCTGAAGGATGACAGAAGGTTGGTCGGCGATTTGTTGATTGTTGATGGATGATAGTCGGCGATTTGGTGAAGGATGATTGTAGGAAGGTTTTTGTCTGCGTCTCTGCGAGAGGGAAGTGGGGAGTGGCCGCTGGGAATGGGAAGGTCGAAGGGGAAGATGAAGCTTAGGGTTAGGGCGTTAGGCTGATGAAGGCTGATGAAGGTTGGGCTGTCGGGGTCGGGCTGAGGAGTGAGGGGGGGCCGAGGGCCTTAAGGCTGGGCTGGGCCATATAATATTTGGCCTGTGGACTGGGGTTCGGTTCCACTTCGGGTCCTTCTATTTTCGGGTCCGGGTTCGGTTTACCCAAAACCCGAAAAATAGCCAGATGCGATACCGAGACCCATTTTTCACAATGATATTTCGGTTCTCGGGTACCCAAAACCCGGAATTTTTTGTCCGATTCCGGGTTACCCATAAACCCGAACCCGAACATCCAGCCCTAAACAAGGTTGTCAAACCGGTACTGTTGTGTCGATTTAGTAAGTGATATGGTTCGACCGATAGTATAATCGATTTTGTGTTGGTTGCTGATTTAATAAAAATATATTTAAAAAATATTTACATAAAATGAATTTAAATGTATATAAAACATATTTGGAAATTAATAACAATTTACTTACAATCTATATTCATATTTATATAAAATTTAACTTTCGAAACTAAATTATAAATATTTATATTTAAATACAATATTTAACATGAATTCAACAAATAACATAAATATTTAATTTTTGAATTCATGAAATAAATGATAAATTAAACTTTTATTAATTAAATTCACTGAGAAGATGTCACTTTATTGGTTGGTCGAAAATTGATATATCAATTATAATACCAACGATCTTAACAACAGTTTCATTACCGACACCGATTGAACCAGATCCAACCCGTCTGCATTTACTGCCTTTGATAACCATGGTGTCGACTACGTGGATTTGACAAAGGGGCCCGGCCCAAAGCCACCCATTTCCCGATATTTCTATTCCTCCTAGGCAGCCATCCCCATTCACCGACTGCAGGTCTCTCTCGTCTTCCCCGATCTCTTCTTCTTGCCAATTTCCGGTCATCGGCGGCGGTCACTCTCGCTCCTGCTGTCCTGCTTCTAAGGTGAGTAACGCTTTCTCTTCTCACTTCTAGTTAGCAGCATAGCAAGCTTGTTAAGCCTAAGTCTCGAGTTAGCGCAAGTATTTACTGTCTGCTTTCTCTGCATGGTCGGAAACTGGTGGTCGCCGTTAACCGCCGCGGGCTCCCTTCCCTTTCCCCTTCTAGCAGCAATCTATAGTTTCACGATTCGAACCCACTCAACTACTCGCAGTCTACTATTTCTCTCGCATTCTCTGCAATTGCTGTGAAAAAACCCGGAAAACCGATCTAGGTCTTTTCATTGATATGATTGATGCTATCGATGTTGGTGCTTTCGTTGAATCATGTCATTTTTTTTCCTTCTACAGCCATGAGCGAAAGAGCGGAGAAACTCGGGCTCTTCAACCCGGACATTCTCGAATTGGTGCTATCGAAGTTGCAGACTAGGGATTTGCTCCGGATGAAATGCGTTTCCAGAAGTTGGCGGGACCTCATCCGCAACCGGTCATTCGCGCTGCGACATTCGCGGCAGAGGCCGCCGCCGCTGTCCGGATTCCTGTTCCAAAAGAACCTTGGGTGGACGGGGTTGGATGTCTCTGACGTGAGTTACATTTTGGCTGAGAGGAAAGAAGAGGAACTACCAAGGCTTCTCAACAACATTGTTGATTCCATTCCTGCCGATCTCATGATGGTCTCTTCCTGCAATGGCTTGATCTGTGGCACCCGCTGCTCCTTTCAAAATGATACCTTGGCTATCCGTGTAGGGAACCCTTTAACTAGAGAAGGGTTCCACTTCGATTGGAAACGTTGTGGCGGCAGAGTGATTGCCGTTGGACTGGCTTTCGATCCTTGTCACGATCTTACTAATAATTCGACGAATTTCAAGGTGGTTCTGGTGCAGGAGGAAGCGGGCAGCGATGGCAACGTATGGCTTGCGTTTCATGTGTACTCGTCCGAGACGGGAACTTGGAGGCTTTCAGATGTAAATGTAAGGTGTGGGTTCCCGTGGGTCAAGGTGGACGATGACAACTGTGTGTCTATCAAAGGGGTCCTGTATTGGCCGACCTGTTCAGGGATCCTCGCGTTTGATGTGGAAAACGAGCTAAGCTTATATGGTCAGTAGGGGTGGCTATACGGTCCGGTTAAATTGGATCAAATTGATCCGGTCCCAGTCCGGTCTTTTCGGGAATATAAGGACCAAAGATTGGATTGGATACAGTCCGGTCTTGATTCGGTCCGGTCTTGACCCGGTCCGGTCCCAATTTAATCTTGATTTTAGGTGTTGGTGGTCTCTTATCCGGTCTTTATCTGGGTTTTTATCTCAAATCTAAGTCCGAATATGAGATTGGATTGTTTGCTATCCGGTCCCAGTCCGGTCCTGGTCCGGGTTATACGGTCCGGTTTCGGGTAAAACCAAACAATCCGGGACCAAATAGCCAGCCCTAATGGTCAGTCCGCCAAGGCCAAGTTCAGAACCCAGCCAGGGCCTTGGGGCATCAGCTGCCTGTATGGGGGAATCCGACGGGAAGCTGCATTACGTGATGGTGCAGAATTAAAAGCTGCAAATTTGGGTTCTTGAGGATCTCCAGGAAGACGGCAAGTGGTCACTCGAGTTTGATAAGTTCTTTGCTGATATGGAGAATGATCTCGTTGGTTCTCTCTGTCCGCAACTAGTGGAAACGAGGTATAATACGTTATGGGTTCTCCACTGGGATTCAAGGATGGGTTTTTGCTGCTGAATGTGTCCGGCGCTATTTACTTGCTCAACACAAGGGATGGTGGATTCCGCCGCATTGCCGATGTAGCGGCGTTTGGTACCAAGGACGAACCTCTTTCCGGTGTTGTACTTCCGTACTCCATGAGTTTGGTCCCTTTAAATCGTCCGTGATGGAGGTGTGTCCTAAACATCTGTCACCTCTGATACTCATCAATCATCATCATCATCAGCTCCATTTGTTGCGTAACGTGAGTTCGTTTCCACCAATGATGTCTGATTTGTCTCCTTTTTCTTCAGTCGTTGGCCATTTGCAGATATGTGAATCTAGTAGGCAGTAGCAATTCGAATTTCTCAGGAACAAGATCTCTTTGCAGCCAGGTGTTAAGGGTTACAGCTAGCTGAAGCTTCACACGTTCATTCTGTTAAGAAAGGAGCAAGTCTAAGTGTAGGTTGCGTTTGCTTGTTAGTTGTTTGCACTGTGTTCTTCTGTCCTTTTATTCTGTCCAGTTGCCTACGAACAGGAGTAATTTGTGAATGTTATTGCGCAGTATTTGTGCATGTATGTACGTCCGTATTCATGTATGTGTATTTATGTATATCAGTATATGTGTATGTATTGTACGTATACTTATTTTATTCAGTTGTTTTTGTCGAGCAAGAGCTTGAGAAAACAGAAGAGAGTAGGGCTGAAAATTGCTCTAAAGATTAAGATGTATAACTGATACGTCCTATCTCTGTTTCCTTTTTGATCTTGTCTGATCCTCAAAGGATGGGACGAGTTGAGAGGGGTCGGGTCAATGAGTCGAGTCTAATTTACACACAACTTTTTTTATAAATTATGTTTTGGTATCCAAAATTATTTTTCTTAGAATTTAGTACCTAATTTTTTTTTACAATTAAGTTCTTAAATTTTGATGGTAAAATTATATTTTGGTACCTGATTTTTTTTTTTTTTTTGCAATTTAGTACCTGAACTTTTAAACCTTTTACAAAGAGATCCAATGGGGTTTGAGATATTTGTTGTTGCTAAAACTCACAGGGTCAAAAGTGACCCGTCTCTAAATTGTCCAGACCCTTATAGGATCAAAAGCTGACTCGTCCCTAAACTGACCCGTTCTGACCCTCAGGGACGGGTCAGTGGGTTTTTACTTTTTAGGGTAAAATCTTCTTTCTTGTGATTTGACTTTTGAGCCTCCTGAGTTTCGACCAAGATTATAAAACCCGCTTGAAAATAATTTATAATTTTATATACAATATATAGTTATATTTAAATAAAATACAACATTCAAAAATCAAAATGAAATAACAAATATTCTTATTTATATTAAATATTTATCGTCAACATCATAAGTTTTATACTTGAATCCAACAAATAAAATCAATATTTAACATTCAAATTCATGAAATAAATTACATATTAATTTTTTTTATTAATCAAACGACGTCAGTTTATTAATCGGCCGAAAATCGATATATGTATTATACTAGTGCCAATGTGGCATTCACGGCAGTTTCCTTAAACCGGCATGAACACCATCAACATGACAAGCATGATAGATGTAATGCCTCTAAAAACGACTTCATTTTCATGAATCTAAATAAAAACTAATTTATCATTTATTTTATGAATTTAGAAGTTAAATGTGGATGTTATTTATTGAATTTAAGTATAACGTTTAGTTATTGACGTTAAATGTTGTATTTAAAATTTTAAATTAATGATGCAATGCGGCGGGGCAGGGCAGGGCATGGCGAGTATCTCAATACCCAGGGATAGGGGTGTTAGTCGGTGCGGTTTCGGTTTAACCGCACCGAAATATCGGTTAACCGCAACCAAAATTGTCCCAAGATCACTAACCGAAACCGAAACCGACAAAGACTTCGGTTAACCGAAAACCGCAAACATCGGTTTCGGTTTTCCCTTGCGATTAACCGAAACCGCAGGTTCTGGTTCACTTTCTCGGTTTTCGTTCAGAAAATGACCACCCAAAACCGAATTTCAACCACCTTTTTTAATGATTCACCCTCAATTTTGAGTGACCTGCTTTTGTTTCAGCCTCTATAATCACACACCATAAAGTCATCTAAATCAATTGAACATAAAGCGTAAAACAACCACACAATTCAACCACAACTCCACAACATAAAGTCTACATGCCCACAATTCAACCACAAGTCACAATCACAACAAGACACAAATAACAAGTTCATTCTCTCCAAATCATCAACCTAAATGATCCGAGGATCTCGCTCCAATTCATCTAGCCCATAGTCATAATTTACTCCAAGATCTTCATCTAGCCCATAGTCATCAACCTAAGGTTCACTCTATCGAGTGCAAAGGGGATTTAGAGAGGGTTGACTTTCGAGTTCTAACTCTTAAAAACATTTGAGATTTTTGATGGAGGGTTGTTTGCAATAGGTGAGAATTGGGATGTTTGGAATTGCAACTTTGATTGGTTTTGAATCTTACAACTTTCTCCCTTAGCCAAAGTAAAAAAACCATGTAGTCACACTAGTAGCCGGTTATCGGTTTTCTTATCGGTTAACCGCTTAGCGGTTAACCACTAACCAAAATACTACTAACCGAAACCGAAATCAATAAGGAAGTAGCGGTTATCGGTTAACCACTAACCGACTTTATCGGTTCGGTTATCGGTTAAAACCGATAACCGACTAACCGTTTATCACCCCTACCCAGGGATGAGATAGCATGCCTACCCATAAAAGGGTTGGAAAAATGACACCCCCTATTAATTATAGATTTTTAAGGTAATTAATTTGTGTTGCATTTAATAATCTGTATGAATTAAAAACACATATTAATTACTTTCTCTTTTTCAGTGCACTGGTAGTTGTATCAGTGCAATGGTATTAGTGTACAGGTGCAATGGTAGATGTATCAGTGCAATGGTAGTTCCAAAAAAGGAACGTAATTAATACGAGTTCAGTATACAGGTGCAATGGTAGTTAAAAAAAAGGAATGTAATTAAGATGAGTTTTTAATTTTCAAAGATTATTAAATGCAACACGAATTTAATACAAAAATAACTATAATTAATAGGGGTGTCATTTTTCCAACCCTTAAAAGGGTTAGCATGCTAACCGATCCCCAATACCCATGGCTCTCCCGGGGCTACTGTGAGTCAGGCTGGGGTACAATCCAGTTGGGTACGAGACCTGTCAATCTACTCTTACATGTTATTTGAAAAAGTACACACAAATTTCACTTTTTACGACAAAACGAAGGAAAAACACTTTATGAATGAAAAATAGTGATAACATAATAGTTAATTGAGTCTGACAAGTTGAAAGATCGACTCTAACTAGTTGAATAAAAGTCAATATAGGAGAAATATGTATAAATATTGTAAGAAATTGAAATAGAATGAGGCAAGAATAGGGTGATGTAGGGCGGTCAGACGTAGATACCTATACCCCGCCCCACGCTACTTCAGGTCGGGACTGGTAATACTTGCAGAACGAGTTCAAATTGCCATCACAAATTTAAATACGAGTATTATTTATTTATTTTAAATATCATATTTTATTTAGATATGAACATGGTTTATAAGTAACTTAAGTCTTTATATCATGGTTTGCGAAACCGTACCGGAAGTCATACCAGACTCGTTTATTATAGGGTATTTTGTGGTACGACCGTAGTTTAGCCGTTTCATACCGATAAAATACCTTTTTTAGAATAAAAAATATTAAAAAAAACTTTACCAGCAAAATCAGAGTAGCGTTACGGAGTAATACCAGATATCAAGTTGTAAAATGTTAAATAGACATAAATGATATAGCAGTCAACAAAGTACATCATTACTTAAAATGTACCATTTTTATATGTATCGAATACTATCGATTGAGAATTATAAATGGGTTATTAGCTGTGTCTATTTATAATATTTTTATTCATAAAACACTAATTTATTAACATTTTTTATATATATTAATACCAATTAGACTATATGAATTTTCTTACCAAAAAAAAAAAAGACTATATGAATTCATACTCTATGTTCGATTCTGACAACAAGCCGTTGATCCAATTAATTCCTAGAGTTGGTCCTTCCCTTCTGTTTCCAAAGGAATTCCTTCTCCCAAAATTTGGTTCAATTAATTTTACCATTTAAAAGGATACCTTCCTTTTCCTTCCCCCATAATCTCGTTCAAATCATTCCTAAAAACTTGGTCCAATTAATTTCCAATAAATGAATGTTTCCCCAGATAAACTTGGTCCATTTAATTCCCAATAAAGCAGATACATCCTCGAGCTTACCATTTTCCTCCAGATATTCCAAAAATTAAATGCTAAAATCGGCGGGTATTTCGCCGGAAGCCGATTCGACCCCAATTACCGACCCATTTAAATATTCTCTCTATCAGCCTGTTTGGATACAATTCAAGAAGAAATGGAAATGAAATTCTATTTCCAATTCCTATTTTTATAGAATTTCATTTCCAATTTTAGTGTTTGGTATAATTCCTCCAACTAAAGAAATGAATTGCACTTTTAACAATAATTAATAATATAATATATTTATTTTATCTTGGGAAATGAAATATGAATGATAGAGAAAGAGAGTAGTGTGATAGTTGGTTAATAAAATAATAATAAATAGTGATGGGACCCACTAATTCCATATTCATAAACACAATTTCTATCACTTTTGATAGGAATTGTAATTCCCAAAACTTAGCCCAAATGGAATTCATTTCTCAACCTTCTTATCCTTCCAAACATAAAATATGGAACTGAAATTGAAAATGGAATTCTAATTCCTGAGTTTTTTGTCTATCCAAACAGGCTCTATATTTTGCATACTGTTTCGGATTTGGTCCGGTTTCCGGTTTCCTGGTTCGCTCGACCGGTCCAGTATAGTAATCCATGCTTTATATATGTTTTAATGTTTTATGTATAATTAAATTCATTTGATTTTAATTGAGTTTCACATTCTACGTACTTTGTTAAATTAGCATAAATCGATGCAAACTAATTATATCGTCAATAAAATCATTTCACTTTCTAAACCAATACAACAATATAAATCGGTTTGACAATCTTTGAAATAGCTAACGTCGATTTGACAAATGAGCCCATAGCCCAAAGCCGTTGTCAGAATCGAACATAGTAATTCCTTCTCCCAAGATTTGGTTCAATTAATTTCACCATTTAAAAGGATGCCTTCCTGTTCCTTCCCCCATAATCTCGTTCAAATCATTCCTAAGATTAAAAGGGCTCAAAACTTGGTCCAATTAATTTCCAAGAAAGGACTGTTTCCCCATATTAACTTGGTCCATTTAATTCCCAATAAAGCACATACTGACATACATGTTCGAGCTTACCATTTTCCTCTAGATCGTCCAAAATTTTAATGGCAGAACCGGCCGGTATTTCGCGGGAAGCCGATTTGACTCCAAATTACCGGTCGGCTCAATATTTTCTACCTTTCCCGATTAGGTCTGGTTTCCGGTTTTCGGCCGGTCCGGTATCTTAATCCATTGATATATGTTTTATGTATAATTAAATTCATTTGATTTTAATTGGATTTCACATTCTACTTAACTTTGTTAAATTGGCATGAATCGGTACAAACTAGTTATACCGCGCCAATCCAATCATTTCACTTTTTAAACCGGTACAACATTAAAAAAACCGGTTTGACAACCTTTGGAGTTAGACCACGTCGATTTGACGAATGGGCCCAGCCCAAAGCCACCCATTTCCCAATATATATAGTCCTTCTACGCAGCCATCTCCATTCACCCGGCTTCCCCGATCTCTGTTATTTTTCTTCCCAATTTCCGGTCATCGGCGGCGGTCACTCTCGCTACGGCCGTCCTGCACCTAAGGTGAGTAACGCTTTCTCTTCTCACTTCTAGTCAGCAGCATCGCAAACTATTTCAGCCTAGTTCTTGAGTTAGGGCAAAGTATTTACTGTCTGTTTTCTCTGCATGGTCGGAAACTGATGCTCGCCGTTAACTGCAAAAGGTTCCCTTCCGTTTCCCCGTCTAGCAGCCATCTTTAGTTTTACGATTCGAACCCACTTAACTACTTGCAGACTACTATTTCTCTCGTATTCTCTCTGCAATTGCTGTGAAGAAACCCTGATTAACGATTTAGGTTTTTTTTTCAATGATAAGATTGAAACTACAATCTCATCTTCGTTCAATCATGTCATTTTTTCTCTCTCTCTCCCTACAGCTATGGGCGAAGGAATGGAGAAACTCAGGGTTTTCAACCCTGACATTCTCGAATTGGTCCTATCGAAGCTGCAGACTAAGGATTTGCTTCGGATGAAATGCGTTTCCAAAAGTTGGAGGGATCTCATCCGCGACCGTTCTTTCGCGCTGCGACATTCGCGGCTGAGGCTGCCGCCGGTGTCCGGATTCCTTTTCCAAAAGAACCTTGAATGGGAGGGGTTGGGTGTCTCTGCCGTGAGTTACATTTCGGCGGAGAGGAAAGAAGAAGAAGAAGAAGAAGAACCACCAATGCTTCTCAGCAACATTGTTGATTCCATGCCGGCCGATTTTAAGATGGTCTCTTCCTGCAATGGCTTGATTTGTTGCACCCGCTACTCCGCTGAAAATGATACCTTCGCTATCCGTGTGGGGAACCCTTTAACTAGAGAATGGTTTGAATGTGATTGGAAGCTGTGTGCTGGCAGGGCGTTTGCCATTGGGCTGACTTTCAATCCTTGCCGTGATCTTACCAACAATTCGACGAATTTCAAGGTGGTTCTGGTGCAGGAGGCAGTGGACAGCATTGGCAAAACATGTTTTGGGTTTTATGCGTACTCGTCTGAGACTGGAACTTGGAGGCTTTTGGATGTAGATGTAACTCATGTAAGTGGCGACGATAGGTTCCCGATGGGGGATACCAAATGTGTGTCTGTTAAAGGGTTCCTGTATTGGTCGACCGTTTCTGGGATCCTTGTGTTTGATGTGGAAAACGAGCTAGCTTATGTGATCCTTCGGCCAATCATGCCAATCGTAGAACGTGACCAAAGCTATGGAGCATCAGTTGCCATAATGGGGGAATCTGATGGTAAGCTTCAGTACGTGATGGTGTCCAGTGCTAGGCTGGTTATTTGGGCTCTTGAGGATCCCCAGGACGGCGGCAAATGGTCACTCGCGGTTGATAAGTTCTTTGCTGATATGCAGAATGATCTTGTTCGTTCTCTCTGTCTGCAAAGGGAGGAAAGGAGTTTTTCGATGTGGGGTTTTCCATTCGGATTCAAGGATGGTTTTATGGTACTGAGGGTGACCTCGGATACAAGGAATAAAGGAGCTATTTACTTGTACAACACAAGGGACGGTGGATTCAGCCGTTTTGCAGATGCAACGGGGTTTTCTACCAAGGGCGGCGGAATTACTCCCTGTGATGTGCTTCCGTACTCAATGAGTTTGGTTCCTTTAAATCGGCCATGATGAATGTGTGCCCTGCCTCCTGTCTCCTCTGCTGCTCATTATCATTTTCTTCTCCATTGTTGCGTAACGCGCCAGTTCGGTTCGACCATGATGTCACATTTGTCTCCTCTCTTCCTCGTTGCCCATTTGCAGATATGTGAATCCAGTAGCAATTTGAATTTCTCCGGAACAAGATCTCTCGGCAGGTGTTGAGGCTACAGCTAGCTGAAGCTTCACATGTTCATTCTGTTAAAGAAAGGAACAAGTCTAGTCTATAGGTTGCGTTTGCTTGTTAGTTGTTTGCACTTAGTGTTTTTCTGTCCTTTTTGTTTTGGAAAAATGGAATGCGGTTTAATCTGCAGATACAATTTCTCTATTAGATGAACAACCCTATTAGTAAGTTTAGTGAGCAAAATGTTTGATTGAAAATCGACTTCCAGTTGCGTACGATAGTAGGATTAATTTGTGGAGGAATGTTATCGCGCTGTATTTGTGTGGGTGCCTCTCTTTAGATCGTGGATAACAGTTTTTGGATCCTCCAAGATAATGGCGGGAAAGATGATATAACGAAACACATCAACGGTTCAAGAAGAGTTGGGCCTGCCATGAAGTCTAAAAGCCCAAACCATTCCTTCATCAGTCTTCTTCTTCTTCCCCGTTTAGATCGGAAGTTTGAGGTCGTGGATCTAGCCGTATCACTCTGATGGACAACCGGAAATCGGGCGTATCGCCGGCGGAGGCAGTCTTACTGGGCGCTCTCGCACCTGGAGTTAACGTTAGTATCGCCTTTTGCTTCCTCTCTCAGCTTCTTTACTTGGCAGTAAAACTACATAATTGTTTCAGCTGAGGTCTGTGTTTTTTGTTGGGGGTGTTTGAAAAAATTTTACAGGCACCGACATGGAATACCCTGAAATCGGTCTAGCTTTCTCTTCGAGCGACTCGGCTTTGGTGCTTCACGTTGGGTTCCTCGTTCTAATCGCGGCTACGCTGTTCTTTCTTCTCAGCTGGTAAAGTAATCCCTTCGAATTGGAGAATTTGGGACTTTTGTTGTTACTTGAGTTTGAATCTGCTTAATTGAACTAGATGAGTAGGCTGTGGGAATTATGGATTAGGGTTTGCTAGTTTGATTTCCAAGCAATTGATTGATGGTCGCTTCCCAATTCCCATGGAAACTAGACACGTTTTAGATCGTTCATTTCCAGTAATTTGAGTTTTGCCCATGTAAACTTTGTAGGAACAAGAGATTTTGGAGGAGAAGCTCAGCTGTAACCTGAGCTCCTTGTAGCTTTTATAGCTACGGTTGCAATTAACAGAAATGCAATACGTGTCCTTACATGATTGGCTATAGTTTTAAATAAACAGTAATCAATAACGGCTAATAGAAATAAACTTAAATGCTGTCGTTTCCTTTACTTCACTTCACTCTTCATGGAACGCCGTCGTCTTCTTCTCTTCTTTAACAACGACTCCTCTTCATCCAGAACGACATCGTTCCAGCTTCACTTCTTCAATCCGCAACTCTTCAGGATTCCAACTTCATCTGCAGCCTCTTCTGCAACTTCCTCTGCAACTTCGATTCTGTCACCCCCCTTCAAGTTGGTGGTGCACCTGTAATCCCCAACTTGCACAAGATCTCTTTCATTTTAAATCTGTCCAACCCCTTTGTGAAAATATCTGCCAGCTGCTCATTAGTTCCAACGTGTTTCAACTTGATCAAACCTCCTTTTATCCTATCTCTCGTGACATGAATGTCAATCTCAATGTGCTTAGTCCTCTCGTGAAATACTGGGTTCTCTGCAATATGAATTGCAGACCTGTTGTCACAATGCACAAGGATAGGTAGAGGTACCTGCACTGTCAGTTCAGAAAGCAGCCTTTTCAACCATTCAATCTCACAAACTAAGTGTGCCAAAGCCCTGTATTCAGCCTCAGATGATGACCTTGATACAGTAGTTTGCTTCTTTGTTTTCCATGTGAGCAGTGAGGTGCCAAGGAATGTGCAGTACCCAGTAACTGATCTCCTAGTATCTGGACAACTCGCCCAGTCTGAATCACAGTAACCAATCAACTCTTCCTTTGCTGTACTGCTAAAATGTATCCCTTGGTCTGGTGTTGATTTCAAATACCTCAAGACTCTGTATGCAGCTTGCATATGTTCTTCACATGGATTCCTCTGATACTGACATAGTTGTTGTACAGCAAACACTATGTCAGGTCTTGTGATTGTAAGGTAGTGGAGTCTTCCAACTAACCTTCTGTATGCTTCACCATCTTCCAGCAATGTTCCTCTTGAACTTAATTTTACCTTAGCATCAATAGGTGTTTTGCAGCCTTTTGCCTCCAAATACCCTGTATCTTTCAAAAGATCAATGCAGTATTTCCTTTGACACATGTTTAGTCCCTTCTCATCTCTGCTAACTTCAAGTCCCAGAAAATATTTCAATGGCCCTAGCAATTTCAACTTAAATTCCTTGCTCAGGGCTGTTTTAACTTGATCTATGTCCTTCTGTGCATCTCCACCTACCAAGATGTCATCAACATACACAAGAATGACAGTGATTCTCCCATGTGTCCACTTGGTGAAAAGTGAATAATCTGATGCTGATTGTGAATAGCCTAGCTTCAGCAGAAAACCAGTGAGCTTTGCAAACCATTGTCTTGAAGCTTGCTTCAGACCATATAGTGACTTCTTTAACCTGCAAGTCATTTTCTGATTTCCTACTGTATTGACCTTGAGTCCAAGAGGAATCTTCATGTAAACCACCTCTTCCAAATCTCCATGCAAAAACGCATTAGATACATCCATTTGTTCAATTGACCAGTTTCTCAGACTTGCTACTGCTAAGAAAGTCTTTACTGTATTTATCTTTGCAACTGGTGAGTAAGTGTCCAAAAAGTCTATTCCATACACTTGTGTATAGCCTTTGGCCACCAGCCTAGCCTTTTCTCTTTCCAGTGAGCCATCAGGTTTAAATTTATACTTAAAGACCCATTTGTTTCCTATTTCCTTGACATCTGGTGGCAATGGTACTATATCCCAGGTCTGATTCTCTTGCAAGGCATGCAACTCAGTGTTTACTGCTCTATTCCACACATCTGACTTAATTGCCTCATAGTATGATTTAGGTTCTTCCAGATTCATAATGCTCAAGGCAAGAGATCTATCACCAGGGCTTAGACTATCCACATTCAAGCAAACAGGATATCTACTACTGCTAGCACTTGACTTAGCATAAGGTCCAAAAGTAATGCTGGGATCTAACTCATAATCTTCATACCTGCTGGGAAGTTTAATCTTCCTTCGAGGCTTACTTTGTTGTGAAACATCCTGAGAATCAAGATCCATGTCAGTTTGAGGAAAGAGTTCATGATGGTCAACATCATAGTACTGATCATGCTGCTGATCATGCTGATCTTGACTTCCAGTATGACTTGAAGAAGGTTCAGTGCTCTCAACCTCAGGCTGCCCCCCTTCATCCATGAATGGATGAACCTGAGGACTAGGTTGATATGAGGTGGAAGGAATGTGAAGGGCAGGGGCAGGATGATTTGTAGGTGTAACTGGTGAGGATGTGGACTGAGTGGAGGAATCATCTTCTGCACAATGAAAAGGCAGAATCTTCTCATAGAAGTAAACATCTCTGGATATGAACACTTGTTTGGTGTGTATATCCATGACTTTATACCCTTTAATCCCTGTTGGAAACCCCAAGAAAACACATTGCCTTGCGCGTGGGGCAAACTTAGTTCTTCCATGGGTAAGAGTGGAAGCATAACACAAGCATCCAAAAACTCTTAAATGAGCCAGTGAGGAGGGTTTGTCATATAACAATTCAACTGGTGACTTGTGTTTAAGGACTGGTGTGGGGATTCTGTTTATCAAGTAAACTGCATGCAATACACACTCAGTCCAATATTGCAGAGGTAAACCAGATTGAAATCTGAGTGCCCTGGCTACATTAAGTATATGCTGGTGCTTACGTTCCACCCTGCCATTCTGTTCTGGTGTTTCCACACAGGAAACTTGATGTTCAATGCCCTCCTGAGCAAAGAAATCACACATTTGAAACTCCTTACCCTGGTCACTTCTTATAGTTTTCACTGTAGTTCCAAACTGATTCTTAACTAAGGCACAGAAACCTTGTATTAACCCCCTAACTTCACTTTTATGTTTCATCAAGAAGATCCACACACAACGAGAAAAGTCATCCACAACAGTAAGAAAATATTGATAACCATCATAAGAAACCACTGAGAGAGGTCCCCAAATATCCATATGAAGTAAATGAAAAATCCCAGGTGCTGTGTTGGTACTAACAGGGAAAGGAAGTTTGTGTTGCTTGGACAAATGACAGACATCACAGTGTAAATGTTTAAATTTGGTTACATCTGGAATAGTTCTAGACAATAAGGACATTCTATCATGGCTAGGATGCCCTAAACGCCAGTGCCAAATGTGGAGGTCTTGTGGTTGAAAGTTGAATATGGAAGCTGCTTGTGGTGAAGGTGAGGGTGATGTATGATACTGGGACAGAATCAGCTGGTAAAGGCCTCTAAACTCTCTTGCAAAACCAATCCTCTTCTGGCTTAGAAGGTCCTGGATTTCACAATGGTCAGAGTGGAAGAGTAGGGTTAGAGGGTGATCATGGGTAAGTTTACTAACTGATATAAGGTTGAAGGTGAATGAAGGGACTAAAAGAACATTATAAAGGGTCAAGCCAGTAGGCAATGTAACAGTTCCTATGCATGTGACCAAGACTTTGGCTTTGTTGGGTAAATAGACATAAGTGTCCTGAACTTCAGTATAACTTGTAAACATATGAGCAGTACAAGCTATATGGTCAGAAGCACCTGTATCTAAAATCCAAAGACTGTGATCACATGTGTTATCTAAATGGGAGGAGGAGACAACATGGTTACCTGAATGGTTAGGGTATGGTGATGGGTATTGAGTGGCTGTGAAAGCTTGATGGTTTATGGAAGGGGAAGTAGGTGGTGAGGAATAGGCGTTAGTACCAAGTTGCAGCAATGTCCTGAGACGATTCATTTCTTCTGCAGTGAATGCTAATGGAGTTTGGTTCATACCTTCTGCAGTAGCTGCACCATCAATAGCATGATCACCAGTGCCATTTCCAGCTCCTTGTGCCACTGAGTTGGCAAAACGAGGAGTGCTAGAACTGGAACTAGAGCTTGAGTTAGAATGCCCTTCCTTCTGTTGTTCACCCTGCTTCTTCTTTAACCACCAACACTCATCAATATTGTGATTAGTTCTCTTGCAATAACGACAATACTTCTTCCCTTGATTGTTGTCTGCTGTCCCTTTAGTCTGACTAGCATTTGCAGCCAATGCCAGGGATTGACTCTTCTTACCACTGGTAGTTGCATCTGCCTTCAACTTCTGCTCATGCTGGAGCAAATCATCAACTGCCTCAGAGACACTAGGTAATGGTTTCTGCATCAGTAACTGGGTCTTGATGACATCAAACTCTGGGTTGATGCCTCTTAAGAAACGGATCAAGTAATCTGTCTCCTGTTTCTGCACAAATGCTGCCACTGCTGCACAAGGAATAGTGGAACCAGGTGCACAGGCACAGGGGACAACTGGGCAAAATTCAACATACTCATCCCAGAGACCTTTAATCACTGTGTAATATTGATTAATTGACTTTGTTCCCTGTTTGCAAGCCAATATGTCATCTTCTAAGTTTGATATTCTCATGGCATTTGGTTGTCCAAAACGCCTCTTTAACTCTTCCCATAGTGTTTTACAGTTACTGTGATTCAGAACAGCCCTTCTCAATTCCTTGGTCATTGAGTTCTGAATCCAGCATAGCACCACTGTGTTACAAGCATCCCATATTCCAAACAAGTCTGAATCCCTAGGAGGTGTGGGAACAGACCCATCTAAGAAACCCAGTTTGTTCTTTGTCTTAAGAACAACTTGCATAGATCTACTCCACATTGTGTAATTAGTACCATCAAACAGTTCAGCAACCAAAGATTGAGCCATA